CTCGTAACCCTAGGTCAACGCCAGTCAACGCGTTGCGACTAAAAAGTCAACATTCGACGTTCGAAACCCTAGGGTCAACGCCAGTCAACGCGTAACCCTAGGTCAACGCCAGTCAACGCGTTACGATAAAAAAGTCAACTCAATAACACGAGCCAAACTCAACTCATCAGTTGTAACGTCGGGCGGTCTGAAACCCCTAGGTCAACGCCGGTCAACGCGTAACCCTAGGTCAATGCCAGTCAACGCGTTGCGACCAAAAAGTCAACATTCGACGTTCGAAACCCTAGGGTTAACGCCGGTCAACGTGTAACCCTAGGTCAACGCCATTTAATGCGTTGCAATCAAAAAGTCAACTCAATGACATGAGCCAAACTCAACTCATCAGTTGTAGATTTGAGACTTCGACGACGGCCAGACGATGAACGCAGCGCTGGAAGAATTTTAGCTATTCACCAAAACATCGAGTAGACTGAAAATCGAAGGAGTCAAGAATCGAAGCTAACGACGGGTTCCTTACGCCGACTGAAGGCTGGACCAATCACATCCAAAGTATTCCAGCCTCTTCTATAAAAGAAACGAGTCTGGAACGCTTTAGAGGGGGTATTTGTAGGCATCGAAAATTGCCTATAGGTCTCCACGAACAACTCAGTGTTAAGGAACGATGATGAACGTCACTATCTGGTTCACAGGAGTTCGATTGATGTCGGTGAACGATTGAAGTGAATCGACAAACTACGTGAACTAACAGAATTTCGGAATAACGAAGATGATCCAACCATCGGAGCTGATAGAACTCCTCGTCGGCTTTCCAACACACTTTGAACCACTCAAATCCGAGTTCAGACGAAGAATCTACAGTGGAAACGGACAAATAGGCACTACGGTGTGTCTCGGACCAACGAGACACCCTAAGGTGTCTCGGCTGAGGCCGAGACACCCCTCAGGTTAAGACACCCTGGGGTGTCTCCAACGCAGAAAAAGTCCGTTATGCGGTTTTAACCGCCCGAAACCTCCGGGAGCCTATAAATACAGCCCCGGATCCTCACTTTTTTTGGATCTGGAATTCTCGTGCCTCGGCGAAGCCCTACTGGATTGAAAACTTAAAGTGCACGGATTTCAGAGAGGAGGAGGAGAGATCGGATCGAGTTCTTCAACACAAGAGAGAGAGATTCTTCAGATCTGTAGTTCCCCGGGTTCGTTCCTTAGGATTATCCTGTTGTGGTAATCTTAAGAAGAGTAATTATCTCGCTTCGCCGAGATAAGAGCTACAGTTTCTCGATCCCTTCACTGATAGACGAAGCTCTGCCCAATTTTTCAGCAATCAGATCCCACGCAAGCAGAAGACCGATAAACGATCTCTGCGTTTGTTTGATAAAGTTGTAAACTTTTTATTTTCATTGTGTAAGGAGATCTTATAAAAAGATCAACTTTTTTATTTTATTCGAGTTTATTGTAACGACTAAAGTTGTAATAGATTCGATAACAATGGAAACATCAACTTTCACCGCAAACACCCACGACCCAAACGAACTTCTCATTCCAGTCCTTGTTCGAGTTGGGAAGACCAGTGATGAGCTTGTACTTCCCCACCATCTGGAAATAGAAATGGGGCTCGGTCTGGTTCACTTTAATGTTCACCAGACGACCCAAGATTCACAGAGATGACTTTATTACCAACCAATGATAGATCACCACGAACCCTACCAGGATCACGATGGCGTTCTGCTTCATCTTGACCGGCGACACCCCTAGAGCCATGAAAACTTATTGAAGAAAAGGGTGCAAGGACATCCGCAAAGACAAACTCCAAGTGCCTCAAGCAAAGTGGAGCCCGATCTGGTCTATGGTCATAGACTGCTTCCAACCTCATCGGGGCCATCAACTCATACTCTCGGGGGATACTAAATCTCCCATGGAGCGTCCTCATCTGTGCTTGGGTCACCTTGGAGTGGAACTCGGCCAGAAGAGCTTGTCGATCTATGAGATCTGATGCCATTGTAGAAGGGAGAGTAATCGCCGGAAAAGATAGACGGGAAGGATCTCGAGTTCTCAAAAGGGAATTTTAAAAAACAATAATCGTCATTCCCCTGGCCCTGGCTTTATATATAGGCAGCTGAATCCGCAACTGCCGGAATTTGAACGGTCGGACCAGGATTTGGCTAATGGCCAAGATTAATTCTCAGAATTCAAAGCGACATCTTAGGGATCGAGGCACAACCCACTAACCTTGAACAACCCGCAACCTGGCACGAAAAGCGGAGTTGTGACAGTCAAAAAGAATGTGTGGTGATGTCAGCCACGTGAAATCTAAAAACACTTTTCAGTTTCCTCATTTAATGCATGCCCATGGCCGTCCAGAGCTGTTCTCATTTCACTCAGACCCGGCCCAAGCCGATTCCAAGTGAAAGGGCCAACTGTTATGGTGTTTTCAGTCGCTAAATTGTGACCCTTTTCCAGTAACGGACAGGTGTTCCCCGACATGCACTGTTTAAATCGAATTGACGATTAGGACTACCAGGATCCCGACTTAGCTAACTCCCCGAGTCGCCGTCTCCTTGGGTCGACTCGAAGGGCCGTACTTGTTGGTCCTCTTATCGAAGACGGCTCGCTTTGAGTCCACTCGACCAGTTATTCGACACTTCGCGGGGTCGACTTGAAAGACATTACTTCTCAACACCATTCATTATAAGCTAAAAGACGACTTCAACCTCGAACCCCCTCGGTGACAACGCGTCGACGTCACATTAAATGCTTGGCAGACACCATCATTTCTCCATCCTCGATACTATTTATGACACATAGGACTACGCCGGCTTCGTGCGCCCCCATCACATCTCATTAATGACGAAATGATAGCGGCCATCCCATGGCCGATCCACGACCGACACCTGTAAAGTAGACGCTGACTCATCTGTCAGCTCAGGCTCGGTGAAAAAGACTAGACTACCCCTCTTGCATGACTTTAAAAAAGAAAACTATGTCAAATACGAAGGTAAGCAATTTATCAGTATTTTCCTCCATTCTATTGTATTTTTTCATATTCTCACTCAAGCACCTAGTTGACTTGATCGTCAGAGGAACAACGGGGGAGCCAGTGCTCGTCCTCTTATGAGTTGTTACACGTGCAAAGACGAACAACCCAACTCCAAATCAAATATTCGAAAAAACGAACAGCCTCTATATCAACTCAATCCCTATTACCTTCTTTTTTGAACTGTGCAATTTAAACCATGAACAAGAGGAAACTCTCTCTAGCTTTCAGAACTCTACGAACCCCTTTAAACTATTGAAAAATCTCATAAACAACGCTAGTAGAGAAAGTAATAGCTTGAATTACAACAAATCAAAGCTTGTGATGAAAATTTTAAATCACAAGAATTATATGAGAGAACAAGGCGAACAATCAAGTCGCGTTCTTAAACTTTTTACTCTACCAATGTTATGAGACTTTGACTTTCCAATAGTTTTGGGAGGATTTAGTATAATTTAAACGTCCATGAAGAGACTTGTCTAATTTATAAAGATCAGATCGATTTGTGCAAAACTCCCTAAGCTAAGGGGGTGTTGTGAGATTTACCTTTTGACTTTCGCCCCTTGGTTCGTAGAATATAAAGTGTTACTAGCACTTCTTTTATTTCTATCTTTTCTACTCCAAAAGAGAAGAGTTACTCATCAAGACATCAACCAATTAGCTGCTAAGGCATTAATTTATTGGATCTAATCTGAAAATAAAACAGCATAAAAGATTTGTGCGCTGAATATGCAAAAATTACACTGTAAAACTCTTTCTTTTTTAAATATTAGAGACAATGGGCAATAAGCCGAAGTTATCCCTTCTCCATTCATAATCTCCAAAATTACAGGAAAATGATAAGGACACATCCCTAACCATACCTCCAACCACACACCCCTCTTTCATTTGTTACAGTCCCTCATGAGATTTTTAAAATTTTAAAATCTCATGTGGGGACCGATGTACTGTAGTAAATGAGAGAGAGTTTATGATTAGAGGTGTCGTTAAGGATGTGTCCTAGTGCCCCCCAAATTTCAATGTATTATATTTGGATTAACATCAACGCAATATTATGTAGGACCAACCACAAATGGTCACACGTGATCCAGAGAAATCTCGATAAATCTCTTTACAAAGATGGGGCCCATAAAACAAATGACGTGTCCTTCTTCCGTCCACTTTTAACTGTGTATGCTGTTCGTGCTGAGACAGAAACAATTGCCCAGCGGCCATTAGGGCGACCTTGTGAAACACCGCCTCTTCAACCGTGTTTCCATCTCTTGAGTTTTTAACACATTAGTCCCTTATAAGTTTCTTAATTATAAATTAAATTGTTAAAATTGTTAGTTCGTCCTTCAAATCCTATAAATTACTCCAAATTAGTCCCGAATGTAAAATTTCATTTCTACTGTTAAGGGTCCCGGATGTAAATTTTCATTTCTATTGTTTTGCATATATCACTAGCACTATGATTTAACATAATTGTCTAGCTGCACTCTCCAACTTCAAACCCCAATGGATTAAACTCAAATAAAGAATCTCTTCCTTGAAAATCAACATCTAAATCCATCTTAAGCCCAAAACACAACCCAAAGCTACTTATATAATCGCTACCATCGAAAACATCAATGATAAGACGAAAGAGAGAAAATAAATTAATAGCAATGGTAATTATAACGATAACTTTTGTACTATTTAGGTACAACCACAAACAAAAAATGAGATTCATAGTGACTAACAGTCTTTTTGGACAATTCACATTTTCAAGTGATAGCACAAAAGTAATATACAATGCGAGTATGATTAAAAAGTCAATTTTAGATGTTGGACTAGTCACTAACCCAACTAACACTAAAAAATTAAAACAGAAAATGTAAGAGCGACCAACTTGGGGTGATTACTAACATTTTTAGGACTAAATGTGAATATCAAAGATATGAGGGACTAGTTTAAACATACACGAAAGATACAAGCAACCACTCTTCAGGAGAACCCTTCTTTATTTTTTCCCCTCTTCCTCTATTGAAGAGTCACCAAACTCTCAAGGCCGCGGAAGAAGAAACAAGGATGAGGGTCTTCGTGAAAACTCTCAAAGGCACCAATTTTGAGATCCATGTCGAACCCCAGCACGCGGTAACTCATCTCTCGATCCATCTCGATTTCATCTGTGATCAAAACTGGATTCAATTATCGCTTAATTCTGTGGGATTTTGGTTAAAGTTTGATTCTTTTATATATTTAACTGAATTTTTTTTGCGACTTGGGGTTTTGTGGATTAGTTTTGGGTTAAAAAGTTTAGGTTGGATTTTAAAGGAGGAATAAGATTTGAATTGAGTTGTGGGATAATTTATTGGGTTAAACTGGTAATTGGAGCCCTTGGTTTAACAATAAAATTTTTAGCACTTTTCTTAAGATTCTCAGAATATATTGTTACTTTGATCAAGCAAAACCTATTTTGTACTGAAGTGATAGTTTCATTCCGAGAGATCTTTGTTGTTTATTTTTTTTCGTCAAATTTAGTGGGTTAAAGAGAAGGGAAATTGCTAATCTTAATGCGGACATGGTAGTATACCGATGGATATTTATTAGAGAGTGAATTTCTCCAAGTACCAATGACTGGAGATGGTAGAAAAATTACTAATGAAGCATGGTGTTATGGTGGATATGATTAGTTTCATGATCTCATAATTCAACTTTTCCTCCAAAACCCACGAGAAGGGCGATGTCAATGTGATTATTGTCTTAAATTTAGCATTTTAAGGCATAATTGGTGAAAACACAGTGCTAAAGGGAAGTTTGAAAATAAGGAGAATGGAGGTAGTAATCGAATATGCAAAGTTCTTCAAGAGTAGTTGGAAACTGTATCTAAAAAAATGCATTTAATTTATTCCCTCCATATTTATAAAATATCTATATTTGTAAAGGTAACAAATATGAGTGGCATAGTATCTATATCCTCTGTTTGTGCTTTTATCCATATGATAATTTTTGTGACCATTGTAGGAGTCTAAATATAGATGAAAGTTATGGTATTGTTCACTTGCCTGGAAATCAAGATGTACATGAGAATGGAAAACTGTCGATAGCAAATCTCTACCTTGTTATAGATGACTGTTTTCACCTGAATATGCTAGTTAACTATACAAGCGGACATGTTTTTTTTATTTTTGATGGCGACCAGAAAAATGTGATCGCATGGGTTTCTTTCGGCTTAAAACCACATCCCAGACTTGAATCATCCTGCACATATGGAACTTTCTCAACATGCCTTTGTTTCTCTACTTGACAATATACTGAAGTGTAGTTTAAAAATGTCAATGAAAACCAACTTTTTTATTTACAAAATCAGTCAACTTTGGGCCAATTCAGCTGCATGGTAAAAGTTAGTTGATTTTTTATTCTTTAGCTGTTTAAATTGTGCCAGAGTTTGGAAACCTCGAGTTTATTTAACACAAATAATCTATACAAAGGATTTTTAGGAAGCCAGTGCGGACAAGGATGCCAACCTCAGGTCCAAGTTATTTTAAAAATTAGAACCTGGGTTTAAAACCATCTTCTTATAGTTTATTTTAAGTTCCTACTGTCTTCTTTAACCTCCTGTCAAATTCTCAACTCCATTCACTATCATTTCTGTCGTTGCTGTCCTTGGTTAGAAAAAATCTCTCTCTGCCCCTTGCTGCCCTTTACTGCTTATTTTCAAACTCTTTCATATTTTGTATAGACATATTGAACAGGATGTTATATGTTATATTAAATATACTATCAATTAGAGTTTCTTTGCTTGTTTTTTTCCTCCTTTTTGATCTTCATTGCAAAGTTATCTTTGTTTGCATCTTTTTTTAAATTTGCATCTTCTTTACATACTTGGTTTATTTGGAAGACATGATTAAGGCAGTCATTGTTATAGGTGCTACTTTTTAGTTAATTTTCTGTTAATGATTTATTGTTTTCCTGTTCTATTTAAATCATGCCAATTTGTACCAATTTTCTAATTCTGTGCAGATTGCGGATGTGAAAAAGAATATAGAGACTGTCCAAGGGAAAAATGTCTATCCAGCTGAACAGCAGCTGCTTATACATCAAGGGAAGGTTTTGAAAGATGATACAACGCTAAGTGATAATCAAGTTTCTGAGGATAGTTTTCTTGTCATAATGTTGACCAAGGTATAATTGCTATCCCCTAAGATTAGATCCTTGATTTTTAGAACTTGTACCATTGTGTGTCCATTATTCATGAAACATTTTTGTAAATAATGTACATTACAACTGAAAACATAGCAATTTAGATGTTTTTACTATTACATATAGGTAATGTATGAAACCCATTTACTACAATATCAGCAATGTCCCAGTCTTAGCGAAAATAGTGTGATATATTGGGGATAGGTAAATGGAAATATGCATGGAGGTTACATATACTTTGGTTGGACTGTTGGATAAAGTAAAACATTGAATGATGTGGGTTGATAAAATCTGTATGCCCCAGTTCACTTGAGGAGAGGCATATTGAGAGTAGCTATTACTTGAGCGAACAGAAAGGTTTTTCTATGATGTTGGTCCAATTGGAAGATGAGAACGTTGTATGACAGAAGGTTTCAGTGGAGAATACACAAGAACTAAAGCAAAGAGTGTCATGGGAGTTTATCTCAGAGAGCATTTTGTAATTGCGAGGTTCCAATGAAACCTGAGTCCAGAAAAGTGTTTCAAACACAACATTTTCTCCAGACTGGTATTATTGAGCATTTGATAAAAAATTGTAGGCTTCAAGGCACTTGCAGATGGTATATTAAGCAGTTAATACTTGACTGAATAGAAAGAACTTTGACTTTCTAAGAGCAATGCATGTCCAATACGAATGTGTGGATCTAGGCTTGAGTAGATAACGTACGCGATTCAATGGGAAGATAGTGTTGGAAGAGTTTGCTCAAAAGAGCATTTGCTAATGGATGTGAGCCTGTGAAACTTAGGACAGGGAAATGATGTTGATCACAACATTAATTACTGGATAGTTCCAAAAACTGCGATCAGCAGAAATGGAATATTTTTTCCAGATTTTTTTACTCAAGAGTATCCTTAACACCAATACAGTATCGGACCTTAGCACCAATATATCATTGATCCAGAGCAATGTGCCTTCATTCATTTGAGTAATGAACCTTAGTACATACTTTATTTTATCATTTTGAATATAGACAAGTAGCATTGTAAGTATATATTCTAGTTCGTGCCTGGTGGGATGTTCACTCTAGCTTCTTCAGAAATTTGAACTTGGATTTTACAGAGCTTTCTTCATATACAACTTGGCGGTTTACGGATGTCTGATACATTGGACCTTTTGTTTGAATTTGCTATTTATGAAAACTTTTCATTAGTTTACCTTTCCTCAGCTACATTGTTCTGGCAGTTGATAGCAAATCCCAACTTCTTATTAAGAGAACATGACTTATTATATCTATTTAAATGTATGATTCTTTTTGCATTGACGATGATTCCATTGCATGACATGTATGCTCCTTTCACTAGAATAAAGCTTCATCAAGTGGAGCTTCAAGTACCAAAGTGGCACCTGCAAACCAGGTAAGCTGACAATTCACTTAAACTTAATGAGTATCCATTGCCTCTTATGTGCTTTAATTTTTAAATTGTTGCACATGTTTTGTATTCACATCTTGGTGATTCTATGTTATATATATATATATATATATATATATATATAAAGTGGCACCTGCAAACCAGGTAAGCTGACAATTCACTTAAACTTAATGAGTATCCATTGCCTCTTATGTGCTTTAATTTTTAAATTGTTGCACATGTTTTGTATTCACATCTTGGTGATTCTATGTTATATATATATATATATATATATATATATATAGAGGTTCTTTTGTTGCTTCTTAACGGAAGAATGATCTTTTTCTTAAAATCCTACAAGAAAGGATTAGATACACAGCAAGTAGTGTACTAGGAAGCACACATATCATAGAAGTTAGAAGAGAAAAAGAATAAAAAAGAATCAACTCTTTTCTTTGTGCTCGATTAATTGTGCATAAAATGGCTTCATTTATGAATTGACATGAGATTTTTTTATATTTATTTACCTGTTGTGAATATTACAATATAGTTTGTAACTGGCAGTGGAGTAGATTCTTTGTGTGGGTTCACTTCAACATGTTGAAGAAAGTAGATCGCGTGTATGTTTTTGTTTGGGCTATTGGTCCTTGGATTAAGTTAGTTAGATAGGAGTTGAGATGAAAGTGGTGTGGGTTGGTTAAGGAGGTATAACTTGAAGGTGACCTCAGTCTGTTAATGGTAATGTTATGTTCTCTATATGTATAGGCAGGTGACCAGAATGGTGGGATATATATAATTTGGGGGACTAAATTGCAGATTTAAAGGTATGAGGACTAATATAAAAAACTAAATTTAGTAGTAATGGCCTTTGTTTAGAACTTTATACTTTGGTTTCTCAAGGGAAGAATCATTCGGTTCCCTTTCTCAGAATCCTGCCGAATATAGGAGGAGTTGGCATATCATAGGAATTAGTTTCTTAAAAGAGAAAAGAATCAGCACTCTTTGTGTGTGTGTAGTTTGTGATAAGATGGCTTTATGCCTTTATCTATGATTTGCTATGAGAATATTATGTTTTCTTGAGATACTAGAATGTAGGTTATACTACTGAATTCTAACATCTTTAATTTTCAAAATCTACTTTGGAGAAACAAGCATATATAAATGGTTGTATTTTGTCGCCCTCTTATGGAGATATCTAAATGGAAATAACGTTCCCTACTATTATTTTGATTTTACTTGTGCTCTGCTTGAGTAAGACCTTTTATATCCAGGCCCCACCTACAACTCCTGTGCCTGCTAACCCTTCGACTCCAGCATCGGTCCCACCACAAGCTCCTCCAGCTTCACAGGCCCCGTGAGTTTTGTTTATCATATTGATATTTCTCATTTTTTTCTTCTTAATTAATTTTTTCATTTGAAATTAAGTGATAATTCTTTGTTGGTGGTACATGCCACATTTATTAGGGCACCTGCAAGTGCACCTGCTCCCACAGCCACAGCCACTGCTGCACCAGCACCGGCAGTAACTGTATCGTAAGTTGCCTCTCAAATCATTTGAAAGCACTATTACTCACAAATTACCTGATTTTTGAGTTTATGCTTAATATTTGCTAATAATTGATAATGCCTTATGTTTTTATGCAAAAACATTTATTTATTGTTTATGTTTCTAAAAGCATGTTATTGGGTCTGAATGGTATCATTTCTCGACAGCTTCATCAGTGTGAAAAGCTGGACTTCCTTTCAAATTGTTTTGACATTGTATTCTCTGGGCATTAACTTGATGGTTCCTAAATAAAACTTCGGTAACTATGTTGTAGTGTTGACAAGTTATGTTGGTTTTGCATATTAAATTTATTTCATGAATGGTTATCACAGTTATTAAATTGAACGGAAGGTAAACTATGATGGCTTATGTGGTCTTTCTGTAACTTGTACACCATCGAATACCTCTTAGGATTCTGAATCAAACTTAGTGACACTGAATCGTATACTGTTTATGTAATCAAGTTGGGCAGTCATCAAGAATGAAGTTAAGGCTTTGCTATTGGTGCAAAGTAGCAGACATATTAGAATAATTGACCTCGCAGACTTAAAACACAAATCTTGAAAATATAACAAAATCTATGGAGAGAAAAGCAGAAGAAACACTAAAATCTTGAGATGTTGAGTATCCCAGATTCCAAATATTTCTTGTACAGATTCCTCAATCACATAAGAGTGCACTTGCTACGCATGCATTCATATAACCTATATTGCTTTTTTCTGTGTCTGCCACTATTCTAGTACTAAGCAAATGGTAGTAGCTTTGTGCATTTATTTGTGGTTTCCCATGATGTGTGCATATTTTCCTTTATTCTTTTCTGTTTTCTTTTCTTTGTGTATTGATCTCCTCTCAGTTTCTTAACCAAGCACATAGTGTTTAAGGATACATTCAGAGGATAGAAACAGCTGCATCAAAAATAAGGGCAACACAAATTTTGATTTTTCTTTGGAATAGTGGTTCAAATTGCTTAATGATTTTATATATATATATATATATAGAGGTTCTTTTGTTGCTTCTTAACGGAAGAATGATCTTTTTCTTAAAATCCTACAAGAAAGGATTAGATACACAGCAAGTAGTGTACTAGGAAGCACACATATCATAGAAGTTAGAAGAGAAAAAGAATAAAAAAGAATCAACTCTTTTCTTTGTGCTCGATTAATTGTGCATAAAATGGCTTCATTTATGAATTGACATGAGATTTTTTTATATTTATTTACCTGTTGTGAATATTACAATATAGTTTGTAACTGGCAGTGGAGTAGATTCTTTGTGTGGGTTCACTTCAACATGTTGAAGAAAGTAGATCGCGTGTATGTTTTTGTTTGGGCTATTGGTCCTTGGATTAAGTTAGTTAGATAGGAGTTGAGATGAAAGTGGTGTGGGTTGGTTAAGGAGGTATAACTTGAAGGTGACCTCAGTCTGTTAATGGTAATGTTATGTTCTCTATATGTATAGGCAGGTGACCAGAATGGTGGGATATATATAATTTGGGGGACTAAATTGCAGATTTAAAGGTATGAGGACTAATATAAAAAACTAAATTTAGTAGTAATGGCCTTTGTTTAGAACTTTATACTTTGGTTTCTCAAGGGAAGAATCATTCGGTTCCCTTTCTCAGAATCCTGCCGAATATAGGAGGAGTTGGCATATCATAGGAATTAGTTTCTTAAAAGAGAAAAGAATCAGCACTCTTTGTGTGTGTGTAGTTTGTGATAAGATGGCTTTATGCCTTTATCTATGATTTGCTATGAGAATATTATGTTTTCTTGAGATACTAGAATGTAGGTTATACTACTGAATTCTAACATCTTTAATTTTCAAAATCTACTTTGGAGAAACAAGCATATATAAATGGTTGTATTTTGTCGCCCTCTTATGGAGATATCTAAATGGAAATAACGTTCCCTACTATTATTTTGATTTTACTTGTGCTCTGCTTGAGTAAGACCTTTTATATCCAGGCCCCACCTACAACTCCTGTGCCTGCTAACCCTTCGACTCCAGCATCGGTCCCACCACAAGCTCCTCCAGCTTCACAGGCCCCGTGAGTTTTGTTTATCATATTGATATTTCTCATTTTTTTCTTCTTAATTAATTTTTTCATTTGAAATTAAGTGATAATTCTTTGTTGGTGGTACATGCCACATTTATTAGGGCACCTGCAAGTGCACCTGCTCCCACAGCCACAGCCACTGCTGCACCAGCACCGGCAGTAACTGTATCGTAAGTTGCCTCTCAAATCATTTGAAAGCACTATTACTCACAAATTACCTGATTTTTGAGTTTATGCTTAATATTTGCTAATAATTGATAATGCCTTATGTTTTTATGCAAAAACATTTATTTATTGTTTATGTTTCTAAAAGCATGTTATTGGGTCTGAATGGTATCATTTCTCGACAGCTTCATCAGTGTGAAAAGCTGGACTTCCTTTCAAATTGTTTTGACATTGTATTCTCTGGGCATTAACTTGATGGTTCCTAAATAAAACTTCGGTAACTATGTTGTAGTGTTGACAAGTTATGTTGGTTTTGCATATTAAATTTATTTCATGAATGGTTATCACAGTTATTAAATTGAACGGAAGGTAAACTATGATGGCTTATGTGGTCTTTCTGTAACTTGTACACCATCGAATACCTCTTAGGATTCTGAATCAAACTTAGTGACACTGAATCGTATACTGTTTATGTAATCAAGTTGGGCAGTCATCAAGAATGAAGTTAAGGCTTTGCTATTGGTGCAAAGTAGCAGACATATTAGAATAATTGACCTCGCAGACTTAAAACACAAATCTTGAAAATATAACAAAATCTATGGAGAGAAAAGCAGAAGAAACACTAAAATCTTGAGATGTTGAGTATCCCAGATTCCAAATATTTCTTGTACAGATTCCTCAATCACATAAGAGTGCACTTGCTACGCATGCATTCATATAACCTATATTGCTTTTTTCTGTGTCTGCCACTATTCTAGTACTAAGCAAATGGTAGTAGCTTTGTGCATTTATTTGTGGTTTCCCATGATGTGTGCATATTTTCCTTTATTCTTTTCTGTTTTCTTTTCTTTGTGTATTGATCTCCTCTCAGTTTCTTAACCAAGCACATAGTGTTTAAGGATACATTCAGAGGATAGAAACAGCTGCATCAAAAATAAGGGCAACACAAATTTTGATTTTTCTTTGGAATAGTGGTTCAAATTGCTTAATGATTTTCTCAGTTATATCAGTTTTCCTTGTATGTTTTATTTCTGTTTTCTATTTAGACAATATTTTTTCCACTAGCTGTTAATTCCTTTTCAGTTTCTAGCTTAATATTTTCTTCAGTTCTATGCGGGTTTCCCCCTCATAATGCTTATTGTATGTTCCTGTAATATCTTTTGATAATTTTTAAGGAGGCATGCTTCTTAATTCTACAGCTGATAATGTTTTATGGCACCTTTTTACTTATTCAGCTCTGAAGCAGATACATATGGGCAGGCAGCATCGAACCTTGTTGCAGGAAATAATTTTGAGCAAGCTGTTCAGGGTATTCTTGATATGGGTGGAGGGACTTGGGATCGAGACACTGTTGTCCGTGCTTTACGTGCTGCGTATAACAATCCTGAGAGGGCCGTTGATTATTTATACAGTGTAATATTATTTTTCTTGAATGTGCTTTATTTATCATCTTTCCGAAATAGCTCAAAAACTCTTCACCGTCATGCAGATGGGTCTATTTCGAAGTACACATCATCTATTGTGTATTCTCATCTATGTTTTATTGTAATTCTTCATTCTGAAACGTCACAAGAGCGTCATGCGCATTAGGGAGTGTTGATGAATATTTTGAGTGTTTATCAAGTGTTATGGAAACATAATTTGCATAACTTGAGGACAATCTCCTCATTAAGTTTAACATCCATTGTATTGCCTCTATAAGCTAGTTTTTCAAGTGTCAACACCTTGGTTCCATATGATAGAATTTATTACTATTTCTAAGAAGGAGCTTTGTTACGTATGCTATAAAGAGAAGGACATCGGTAGATATCATTTATGCATAGACAAACTTGTCCCTGTGTCTGCTTTATTGTGGAATTTGCTTTTCCCCATGCATGAGTCACGTTTGAGTCCGTAATTGTCGAGTTCTCTGAGTCCTGGATGGAAGTCCATACATGCAGTTATATTTGATAATTTAATTTGTGTATAAAACTACGCACATCCTTGTAGTTACATTTTAGGAGTTAATGACATCTTCCTATCTCAGGGAATCCCCGAGAATGCAGAAGCACCACCTGTCGCGCGAACACCAACGGCTAAGCTGTTAATCCCCCAACCCAGGCTTCACAACCAGCAGCTCCCACAGTTCCATCGGGTGGTGGTCCGAATGCTAATCCCTTGGACCTTTTCCCTCAGGTATATGTTCTTTTGTTCAATAACATTGCGAACTATTTAAGAACAATATATGCAAACATATGCAAAAAAACGAGTATAGCAGAAATGAGAATATTATGATGGACTTGTGTATATATCCCGTAGAGATTCATATAAGAAACGAGTGCATTCATAGGAAGCTAGATGTTGCTCGTATTGAGGATAAAATAAGAGAATCAATTGAGATGAATTTTTTTGTCATGTGCGACGGAGGCCACTAAATCCACCAGTAGGAGAACTGATAAGATCGTAGTTAATAGGAGCAAGGAGGACTAGAGGTAGGCCTATCCGAATTTGGTTGGAAGAAATTAAGAAAGATATGATAATAGTTTTGTAAATTTCACAAAACCCACAATAGTTTGGGTATTTTTCACTTAATCCTAAAAAGTTTGAAGACGTCACTTAACTCCTAATAAGTTTTGTCAGAAAACCCCCAAAACTAATATCATTAGTTTGAAGTGTCACATGCAAATCATGTGCTGTCAAAAGACCAAAATACTTCTTATTTTTTTAAAAACCCTTCATGTCTTGTAATTTTCACCCTGAAATCTCTTCTCCTTCTTTCTCCTCTCTGCTTGCATTCACTCCCAGTTTGGAGCTTCCAATCCCCAAAAGATATGTATATCATCTTGCAGAATCCTGAATTTATTGGGGGTTAGGTGAGATTTTCGAACTTGTTTAGGGTTAAGTGAAAAACGCCCAAAGTTATTGGGGGCTTTGCAAGATTTACCCTGATAGTTAATTTGATGATGGAGATGGCACTTACTGACTGGAAGAATATTATTTGCTTATCCGACCAAAAAGATTGGGATATAGACTTTGTTGTATACGTTCTTTGTATTTTCTTAACTTTTATATAGTTTGAAAGTGACAGTTTATTCTGCTATATCTTTAATAGGGTCTTCCAAGCATGGGTTCAAATGCTGGTGGTGGAAACCTTGACTTCTTGCGCAATAGCCCGCAGGTACTTTGAATTGAGTACGTGTGTGTGCAATGTTTAGATCACTGATTCAAACTATTGTCATTGTTCTCTTTTTACTTCTGCAGTTCCGAGCCTTGCAGGCTATGGTGCAGGCAAATCCTCAAATCCTTCAGGTCATTTTTCTTTCCACAAATTGAGTTTTTCCCCCAGAATTATTTCCCTTTCATTTCAAAATTCATGCTAGCCCTTTGTTTTCACAGCCAATGCTTCAAGAACTAGGAAAACAGAATCCTCAGATTATGAGACTCATTCAGGAGCATCAAGCTGATTTTCTTCGTCTAATGAATGAACCTGTTGAGGGAGCAGAGAGGTATGAAATGTTTGTTTTTACTATCTGTGTAGAAAATTTATTAAAAATATGTTTATGATGAGTTGTTTTTGTTTGTGTTTTTTTTGGGAAACCAGTGATCTACTGGGTCAATTAGGAGGTGCAGTGCCACAAACGGTGGAGGTTACTCCTGAAGAAGCTGAAGCAATTGAACGTGTAAGTCACATTGCCCATCATATTATCTCATGCAATTGAACGTTATATTTATTAAAAATATAACGTTTTATTCATACGTTAGGAAATATAGTATGCTTGTATTTAGGAGTTGTTTGGGTTGCTGCAAAAATTAATGGCAGCTGATGTTGCAGCAACAAATGTTGCATGTAGCATGTGTTGCAGGACTTCAAATTCTTTATTTGGATAGCTGCAATTATATTGTAGGAAATATTTCTAACACAAATTTAGTGTTTGGTCGAAGAACAATTAGTGGAAAAGCTGCATAATTTTAGCATATAAGGGAAGTATGGTGTGGATGGTTTTATTTATTCTTTTTTTTAAGGCTACAACTTTTCCTCCTACCAAATTTGCGGTAGCATTTTGCGTAAGTTTTTTCTACAAATGAAAGTCGATTTTCTTACCTAAACAAAGTTGCAAGCCAAATAATGCATTTATAAATTCGGTCGCTCTATTTACTTTTGCAACACCCTTTCCGTCCGACCAAACTGCCCCTTGATTACAAGTCTTTAAGATGCAAAATATTAACAGTATAAACACAAATTCAAAAATTAGAAGATTAATTGAAGTGGAAGGCAGTTAATAGATATCTCCAACTTTGTTAAGGTTAGTGGATGGAAATTTTGAATTAAGTGCTGTCTAGGTGCATCGATAATAATGGGATTATGCTGAGGCTGAGTGTAATTAGGTGCAGGTTAGGCAGGACGGATATGGACACGGACACAAATACAAACATGGACACAAATACAAACACAGATATGGACACGGACATGGATACAAACATGGATATGGACACGGGACATGACAAATTTGTAAAATGTAGGATACGGTGACACAAATACACACACATAATTTTACATACATGATCAAATATCGAATGAAAATACCAATAAAATTTGTATGTTCCTTTCTATTATCTATAACAATCAAGAATCTAGATAAATCAAACTAAGAATAAGGTTTAACAACAAAAGTTTAGTTTTGACTGCATGAGATACTATGATGGGTGTTTTTCAAATATTTAGATAATGAGTTTCAGTTTTCGGGTTAAAAAACCAATTGGTTTTGAACCTGATATTACCAGATAAACTAGTTTAGAGTATGTGTAATAGGGAAATTAGGTTTTTCTTTGAACATTGTGTCCATGGCGTGTCCGTGGAGAGTCCGTGTCCGACACGTGTCGGACGCGGACACGACACCCAAAACGCTATGTCAGTGTTATGTCGGGTACATGAAACATGTAGGGGTGCTAGAAATAAAAAAATGTAGCCTTGTGATACAGGATTACAAGGATCTGGATCTGAAATGGGAAGAGTTTTGAATTTTTATGTAATAGTAGTATTATTGC